AATTCCCTTTGACTAAAGGGAAATTCCCAGACCGATTTTCAAATTTCTAGCTGGAAAAAACAAGCTCATATTTTAATACCATCTTTTAAAAATGTCAACATCTTTAATTTTCAAAAAGAAAACTAAAATTATAGCAGTCGCATGTAATTAAGGGGAGTTGTATTGATACGGCGATTTATGCTCTTTCATCATCATTCTGTTAATATTCAGTGTGGCTGGATACTGAATCACTACAATAGCTCACTTATATCTGTGAAATAAGAAATATGAAGACACATGGTTTGCATACTGATGCGTTATTTTCCTACTGTTGCATCTAAGCCAAGTATGTGAAAACAGTTCAATCTAATGAGCTCCTAAATCGAATGATCACTTATATTTCTCTAACCTCATACCTTTTAAAGAGTGGTCTGTTTCTTTCCATGCTGAAGAGAAATCTCAAGGCTCTGAAAGCATAACACTAGAAAACAAAAGGATATGTGATTCTTAAATGGTAGCTCAGCAAATGAAAACATTTTCAGGAAAGAATTAACAGGAAGTAAACATTAACGTGACTTTATTGTAAGTGGCTGGTCCAGGTTGGAGCCAAAGCTTATAAGTGAAAACAAAAAAACACCAGCACCTGGGGTCATTCCCGTATTTACAAAGTGTTTATGTTGTAGAACGCTGGGAATACTGGCCTTGCTTCCCTCGGTACTCGTCATTCATTTCTTTCTAGAAAGTACAAAATGAGTACAGAGACAAGAAATAAAATTCCAATGCTGAGAAAACCAAACGTCTGAAGATTTCCAGGAGCTCAAGGTTTATTTTGTTTCTAGCCTGCTATGTATACCTCAATATTTATATGGTTTCTGTGAGAAAATAAACACTAGAAATGATGACATATAAAAATAGTCACAGGCACACTGGACTCAAACTTGACAAATTGGTCTCCTGAGTAAAGAGTCTTAAGCATTCCCCAAATAGAACAATCTACAGTAACTCCCTAGAACGCTCAGAAAGAGGCCTGTGAGGCTTTAGCTAGGAAAAATAAACATCTGACATTTTGCAGTACTGAGAAAAAAGAGTGTGCCCAGCCTGCAGCTGTGCCTGCACAATAGGCCACCATTGGAGTGATCAGGGTCTGCTGAATCAAATCTGGGATCAATTCCTAAAATCAGTGATCTGAATACAGAAGTGTCCCAAACAAATTGCCCAGAGAGGTGGGGCCGGCAACAAAATGACATGAAGGAGCCAGGTGAGAGCAGTGGAGACTGTGAGAAAGGGAGAGCATGCGTACTCCTCAAAAGTCCTTCATCTGGAATTCTAAAAAACCCTCTACTGGCTTAACAAAATGTATCTGCAGGATGGGTTTGTCTTCATCTGTTTACCAGCACAGTGTCATACATCTGTGATGCACTGAAGAAATCGTCCCATGCCTGCACCTTCCCTGGCAGCTCTCCAAAAACCCCTGCTCGCCAGCACAGAGACATCCCCAAAGAGTCTGCTGGGTTTGGCCATCATTTTGGATGATAACTCTTAAATCAGATTGGAGACAAAGGTTGTTTCTTTCTTCCTTTTCAAAATGACTTGGGGGAAAAAGAAAAGATGAGCTACAAGTATTGCAAAGACTAACTTTAAATCAGATTTTGACATTAGGGACACTGCCCTCTGCCCCCACTCTGCCAATACCCACTCCTCAAAAATGAACTTAGAACCTGCATAACTGTTCCCGTTTCTTACATGTGAGGCCTCATCTCCTGGAGCACTGCCTTCCCAAACCACACGCCCCAGTTCCACTGAGCAGCTCACCCTCCCCTCAGCTCCCCCAATACCCACTCCTCAAAAATGAACTTAGAACCTGCATAACTGTTCCCCTTTCTTACATGTGAGGCCTCATCTCCTGGAGCACTGCCTCCCGCAACCACACACCCCAGCCCCACTGAGCAGCTCACCCTTCCCTCAGCACACTCTAAGCTCACAGCTTTCACACTTGGTGCGCGCTGTTCCCTTGCATAGAATGCCCTTCCACCCTGCAGCAGATGCCACTGGTGCCCCACCCAATATCCCCTTATCCACTTGGCAAGTCCCTTCTCATCCGTCAAGATCCGTGATGGCAAATAATTTTCCCCTGTTGTTATATTCTGATACATAAGGAATGAATATTTTTTTAAAAAAATATAACTTATTGATAAGTAAAGAAACACCTAAATGAATCACCTAATTCTCCCACACAGAGAAACCACTGTTCAGCCTTCTGCATTGTTTTAATATTATTTGATGCCATGCCATGCCAGTCTTCCTCGCCAGGTATTTTTCCCCCATAGTCAGTACGGGGACCAGTACTAACCTAAACATTCTAAAAATCATAGATCATTTTACCAAAGTTACCCCAGGTTTCAATAATTTGATATTGCAGGACAACAGACATGTTTATTACCTGTAAGAGATTAGTTTTTGCTGCATTCTTTTGTTTATTTGGTAAAATTAATTTTGCTATTGTATATACACCATTTTCCTGAAAGAATAAAGGGGTGATACTATGAGTGACAACACTGTAGTGATACACAAGCATAAACAGGCAAATACACAATCTCAAAAACTAATAGCAAAGAAGAAATGTTAGTATAACTTTGGACTTTGAAGTAAACATTACAGGACAATATTTAAAATGTCAACATAACACTTTTAAACACCAAAGAGTGCAACTACAATCTTAAAATTCCAACTGTCTGTGGAGAGTTAAGATTATTATAAAGTACATAAACATAAAGTGATTCAAATACCTTAAAAACAAAGAATGAGAGATTAAAAAGGGACAGAGTAAAGGTGTCCCAATATCTTAGAATTATATCTTTAATATTTATTTATATCCTTAATTACCACAACGGTAAAGGGAGACGTTATATTTCAGTTATTAATTTATGTCTTTATTATAATCTTGACATCTTCCTAGATTTTTTAATTGAAATATATACATGAAGGAATGAACAAATAATAATACCTTACAGCCACTTTTCTATTATCTAGTAAATATATAATGTACTAATCTTTACTGTATGCAGGCATTCATATTATAACTGCAAAGAGCCTTATTTGCTTTATCGCATCTAATCTCTGTAACAACTCTGTGAAATTAGTCTATAATTTCCTTGTTTTATACGTGAGAAAACCAATACTTACAGCAGATACATTATTTTTTTAGAAGCCAAGCCAAGAAATAATAATTCCAGGAATTAAACCGCAGTCTGGCCAACTCCAAATGCCCTGCTTTATCAACTACCCGCCGATCTGCTGAGTTTCTCTCATGTCCTAATTTAATCATTGATCAGCTGATCCCCTACTAACATGCATGTATTTTGAAGTTGGATATCATATTGACACAATCAAAAGGTTTTCTCTGTAAAATTCACTAAGTAGGAGGTAACTTTTGCAATAGAAGCCCATACAAGGGTTGTACATATACGTGTGTATATTTATTTATATAGATACATTAATTTATATTTATGTGTATATATACATACACAAACATGTATATATAGCTGTACATACCGTAGATTAATTAGTGGATGATACTTTGCAAAGTCAGTTTCTTGGCAATAAATATTTTGTTTGCTGTGTCTCAATCATCATCTCTAACTTAATAATCTGATGCATAGTTTTAATCAAAATGACTGCTGTCCTTACCTTATGGTATTCTACATGCCCAGAATTAAAGCAATTCAGAGTATCCCTTTTAGAAAGATAAAATAAAAAGTACTGCACATAACATAATGAAGAAACATCAATTAACCACATGTCGGTCCTTTTTAAGTCAAGTGAGTTAAAGGAGGAAGGACAAAATATAAAGTGGAACTCTGTTAGTGAAATGAGAAACGTTAAAATAGTTTTTAAATCACATGATGGGATCCCAAAACCTATGCTCTGGGATACAGACTGCACCACAAGGTGAGTTGATTATGAAGGGTTACGGAGACCTGACCTTGAGAAGGAGTGCTCTCACCTGAACCACCTGGTGGGCATTGGTGTCATTGAGCACCAGCTCAGTGAGGGCAGCACAGCAGGCTGGAATGAAAACAATCAAATGCATAGTGTGCATCATTACAATAAATACACTTTCACATGAATACTCTTGCTCCACAGGGTATTTTTATTATTTTGCTATGCTTGTTAGCAAAGTAACTCCTCAAGAAACACTAATTTTCCTTCTGGCACAGCTCTGGAAGAAGAGAAGTTGGCTTGTAATGGCTTCTAATTCTCCTCTCCATGTATTTCCTGTGCACATCTATTCCACAGCAGCCATTTATTGAGAACTTACTGTGTACCAGGAGGCAAGTACTGTATCTGTCCATTTCATTGCAATCCCCAGTGCCCAACACATGCCCTGGCACTCAGCAGGTGCTCAACAAATATGTCTATAATGGTTGATAAATAAAAGA